CAGCAGAATATACTGTAGAACGAGGGCTTTAATCTGGACGCAATGTGCAGCTTAACGTGAAGCCATTAGAAATGCTTGTGTGGCATTCATGGGGTATCTGAGCTGAGAGACAAACAAAACAAGCTAGATTAAATACATGTGTGTTTCCTTATGTTTGCATCTGAGTTTGCTCTATTAAAGCATGATTACACTGTTTTCGTCTCATTACTCCCACCTTATGCCTACTAGACGTCAGCAGGCATGGAGAATATTTGATTTTTCATCCGCCTCTAATTCCCAGCGTTGTCTGTCACGAGTTAATTAGTGAGTGTGGTATCAGTGAGTGCAGCTGGCAGCCACGGGGCGCGCTGTTGTGAGGAAGCAGCCATTCTGCATGGCTTGGAAACGCGTCTGGCTCTTTTCATGACAAATGCTGTTTCTTAGTCCTCTGATATCAGAGCATCATGTAGACGGGACTGTTAAAAGTCTGTCCGTGTTTTCTGTTGTAAAGCCTGATTTTAAAAAGGACATAATTTAATATCTAGGGGGCGCTGTTCCATTTTGCCAGTAATGAAACTTAGAGGTGACACACAGTACTTTCATCCTGAGCAGGTTGAAGGACCTCAGATTTCCGGGATGACTGGCTGACCTCATTGCGCATTGCATTGTGGGGGATCCCGAGCTGATTGTGCCAGGAAGGCCTAGGCCCTCAAGCGGAGTGTGGAATCTAAATTGACATTTAATCACTCCACTATTTCTTTTCCATTTCAAGCAAAGTTGAATCTAATTAATGCAGTGCAATAATTAGCTATTAATATGAGCTGATGGGCAGATAATTAATGAGCTTACTCTCAGACTGGAAGCACTTCAGAAATTCTTCCTTTCAGCAGATTTCAGGCTTCCTGAGTCCTCAAAGCCTTTGAAAGTGTGATCAACAATACTGCAGCCAGTTAAAAGCAGTTCATTACTTTTCACCTACACCTGAAGGAGGTACACCCTGGATGGGATGCTGGTCCATCACCGGGCAGGAGGCTGGGGTACACCCTGGATGGGATAGACATACACCCTCTGCATGGCTGGAATTTGCACCATGGCTGGAACCCGGAAGTGAACATGCAGACTCCACACAAAAAGGCCAGAGGAGGAATTTGCACCCAATCCCTGCAGGTGTGAGGCAGCCTGTCCTCAGTCCTGCTCCTCATGCATGATTATAAACGAAGGCAGACGCCGTACAGCAGCATGGACACCGCTGGTCTTTAGTCTGCCTATAGTGTTTTTACTATGTGCTTCTTGGAAACAAGCAGACTGTCCCAGTCAGTGTGAAAGACTCAGTTTTGTTTTCTCTCCATCCTCAGAAATGGGCACAGATCCTAATTCCTAAAGCCTTTACCGCCTGTTCTCTTTCCTTGGGCGTTTTCCTGTGTGCTGATGCCAGCGTGGCTGTCCTTTGCTAAAACCGTCTCCCCAAGCCAAATACAGGCCCTGCTGATTCTCCCATCTCAGTCATGTGAGCTTCCCTTTGCTGTCATTCACACACACACACACACACACACACACACACGTAGGGTAAACATATCCTTATGGGGACCGCTCATTCATTTCAATGGGAAAAATGCTAACGCTAACTATGACAACCTTAACCCCTACCCTGCCCTAACCATAACCATAAGTAACCTAACAAAATACAAGAGTTTTTGCATTTTTAGTTTTTTCATAGCAGTCACCGATTTTTATAAAATAGAGTTTTCCCTTATGGGGACCAGGAAACCGGTCCCCATAAGGGAAAAAAAACGGATATTTAACACGTTATGGGGACATTATGTCCCCATAAGGATAGGTAAACCCACTCACACACACACACACACACACACACAGAGGTTTGTAATTATATCTCTGTGGGAACTAGCCATCCATTTCTATGGGGAAAACTCTAATCCCAACAGGATGGGGGGCCATCCCATTGCAAGGCACTTAACCATATGTTACCAAACAAAATATGAGACTTTTGACATTTTTAGTTTTTTGATTGCAGTCACAGATTTTTATGAAATTGGTCCCCACAATGTAATATATCATTGGCCTGTGGCCAATGTAGCCTCAGTCTCCTGTTCTTAGCTGTCAGGAGTGGCACCGCTGAGGTCTTCTGCTGCTGTAGCCCATCTGCTTCAAGGTTCAACATGTCGTGCATACAGAGATGCTCTTCTGCATGCCTTGGTTGTAGTGACTGGTTATTTGAGTTACTGTTGCCTTTCTATCAGCTTGAACCAGTCTGGCCAGTCTTCTCTGACCTCTGCCAAGGCACTGTCACCCAGAGAACTTTTGCTCACTGGATGTCGTTTCTTTTTCAGCCCATTCTCTGTAAACCTCAGAGATGGTTGTGCATGAAAATCCCAGCAGATCAGCAGTTTCTGAAATACTCACACAAGCCCGTCTGGCACCAACAGTCACGCCACATTCAAAGTCACTTAAATCACGTTTGTTCCCCATTCTGGTATTTGATGTGAACATTAACTGAAGCTCTTGACCTGTATGTGCTTGATGTGCTGGTAACATACACTATATGGACAAAAGTACTGGGACACACATCTTAATTGTTAAATTCAGGTGTTTCATTCAGACCCATTGCCACAGGTGTATAAAATCACGCGCCTCGCCATGCAGTCAGGTGTACAAGCATTTGTGGAAGAGGGATGGAACCTGGGAAGGTGCTGCCAGAATAACAGTCTCCAGCTGAACGTCAGCAAAACAAAGGAGCTGATTGTGGCCTTCAGGAGGCAGCAGGGCTCTTACACACCTGTCCACATCAACGGTGCTACAGTGGAGAGGGTGAGCACCTTCAGATACCTCCTACACCTACAGGAGGACCTCACCTGGTCCACACACATGTGCTCTGGTCAGCAAGGCGAGGCAGCAGCTCTACCATCTGAGGCAGCCTGCTGTTCTTGAGACCTTCTACTCTGCTGCCATAGAGAGCATCCTGACCATGAGCATCACATCGTGGTTTGGGAACTGCTCTGCCCAGGACCGGAAAGCCCTGCAGAGGATGGTTAGAGCAGCTGAGCGCTGCACCAGATCTGCCTTGCCCTCCCTACAAGACATCTACACCAGCTGCTGTAGGACCAGAGCAACAAAAATCTCCAAGGATCCATCCCACCCCAATAACTCTCTGTTCTGCATGCTGAACTCAGGCAAATGCTTCCACAGCCTTATCACCAGAACTGAAAGGTCAAGGAGGAGCTTTTTCCCCCAGGTCAAAGGCTCCTAAACCAGGACAAGGCTCAGTGCCCTTAGGTCTTCACTGTTTACATTCAGTTCAGTTCATATTGTCCAAATTGTCGGTACATTTATCAGGCCTCTTGCACATTGAACTTATATTGCACAGCAAAATACCTCTTACCTGTCACTTATGTATAGATTATGTACAGCTGAACATTTCATATATTTTTTTAATAATTTTTCTTATTTTTTCTATATTTTGTTATCATGCACAGCTGCTCGAAGTGACCAGGTTTACGTTTCACTACATGTTGTATTTGTACAACTGTGTACGTGGCAAATAAACCTCTTGAATCTCGTTCTGAAGAGCTCAGTGAATTCAAATGTGGTACTGTCATAGGATGCCACCATTGCAATATGTCAGCTCGTGAAATATCTTCCCTGTTAGATATTTCATGGTCAACTGCAAGAGGTATTATTGCAAAGTGGAAGCGTTTGCAAATAACAGAAACTCAGCTGTGAAGTGGCAGACCAAGTAGAGTAACAGAGTGGGGTCACTGAGTGCTGAATGGATAGTGCGTAAAAGTCGCCAACGTTCTGATGACTCAATAACTGCAGAGTTCCAGACTTCCTCAGACATTAACCTCAGCAAAAAATCTGTGTGCTGGGAGCTTCATGGAATGGGCTTTCAGGGCTGAGCAACTGCATGCAAGCCTAACATCACCAAGCGCAGTGCCCAGTGCTGGATGCAGTGGTATGAAGCAGACTGCCACTGGACTCTGGAGCGGTGGAAACATGTTCTGAGGAGTGAAGAATCACGCTTCTCTGTCTGGCAGTCTGATGGACGAGTCTGAATTTGGCAGATGCCAGGAGAACGTTCCCTGCCTGACTGCACTGTGCCAGTTGTAAAGTTTGGTGGAGGAGGGATAATGGTATGGGGGTGTTTTTCAGGGGTTGGGTTGGGGCCCTTAGTTTCAGTAAAGGGAACTCATTTATTACAAGTCATCCTTCCAACTTTGTAGGAACAGTTTGGGGAAGGCGGCCATTTTCTATTCGAGCATGACTCTGCTTCAGTGCACAAAGCAAGGTCTATAAAGACATGGCTGTGTGAGTTTGGTCTGTAAGAACTTGACTGGCCCACACAGAGCCCTGACCTGTAGTCTGTCTCCAGCATGTTTCCACACAGCGAGTGTGTCGAGATGCTGCTACATGTGGTGCTGAAGAGCTTTCTCACGCACGCTGAGTGACGACAGCTCCTGTTCCCCAGCAGATAGATAGCCCCAGCAAATAGCCCCAGCAGATAGCCCCAGCAGATAGATAGCCCCAGCAAATAGCCCCAGCAGATAGCCCCAGCAAATAGCCCCAGCAGATAGCCCCAGCAAATAGCCCCAGCAGATAGCCCCAGCAGAGGTGAAGACGGTGCAGTGGCGCTGCGTGCGCTGTGCATCTGACATGGAGCGTTGCCGTCTGCGATGGGGCAGTCTAAGAGCCTCCTCTTCACAGGAAGCCTGACAAATGCGACTGTCAAATGAAAGTGTTTTTCTGATGCTGTTGCAAATGGCTCAAACAAAATGGCACAGTCCTCAGCCGTTGATATGCAAGGTGCTTGTCATCTTAAAGCACCCTTATCTTGTGATTTAAGAGCATTTGCCAGTGCTGGGCGTCCCAAGATAAGGGGTGGCTGTTTACCTGTCCGTGGCATGCTCCACTTTGAAGTGCTCTTTGTCGGCAGTTGGAGAGACTCATCAAGGCTGCAGCGTGTTTGATGCTGACTTCAGGCCACCCGTCCTGTCCCTTGATCGCAGGTCACGGTCCTCATCTTCCTGGCGCTGGCCTTCCTGGCCTGCATCGTCTTCCTGGTGGTATATAAGGCCTTCACCTATGACCACAGCTGTCCAGATGGCTTTATCTACAAGGTGAGTGCCTGAATCGCCAGCCACCGTCGAAATGCTTCCACCGCATCGTTACTATACCATAGGGAGAGTTGTCATATGGGAAAAAGGTCACAATTGTTAGGTGTTCCTCTGAGTATTGTATGACAAATATTGAGGAAAAGGACTTGGATTTAATTTAAGAGTCGGGATATGATAGCAACACTCAAGGGAGCATAATCACTTTTTGTCTGAATCAATTCCACTGAAAGATCTGACACCGGTCCATGTTTTTCAAACACCAATCTGCTTCATATTATAGTGTCCCGAGTTTAATTAATCCCTCATCTCCCCTAGCTAGTTCTCTAAATTGTTCCTGTTTTTCAGCAATCATATTTTGTATATTCTTTCTGTCAGGGGTATTCTGCTATTTGGACTTTAGTGGAAAGAATTCAAACTCAGTTCATTAGTTATATGTTATAATTAAGCCTTTTATTGGATGAGTTGCAGAATGTGTGAACAAGAAAGGAAGAGATAGGGGCTCTTTGTTGGGTTTCTAGGTGGTTTATAATTTATGGAGATGGGCCAGTCACATTTTATGGGGAGAACGTGAGTGGTGAAAGCTTTGGTGTGGTGACAGTCCCTGGGGGGGGGCGCCGTCGTGTCCCCACAGCACAAGCGCTGCATCCCCGCATCGCTGGAAGCCTACTATGCCAGCCAGGACAGCAGCTCCAGGGCACGATTTTACACGGTCATCAGCCACTACAGCATGGCCAAGCAGAGCACATCCCGTTCGGTGTCACCATGGCAACCGGCAGGCCCCGCCCAGCACGGACCCGAGGACCACTGAGCGCCCCCCGGAGGCCATCTTTTTAAAGGAGAACGAAAAGATATATGAGGTGTCTCAGCCCATAAATCCTGACAGGAAACTGTGGGCCAGTCTGTGTTCCTCACACCTTGTCCATCCCCCCCCCCCATATCTCTCTCTCTCGTCATTGATGTTTTCTATTCCGTACTGAGCAACAATGTCTTTGTAAATAGGCATGATGTTATGACCCCAAACATCTTATTCATTTCTTTCAATCGTCTGTCTGCCATATCTGAGATGTGGTGTTTCCTACCGATTAATGGCATGCACTCCTGGCACGCTCTTTTCATTATGCAGTTGTGCGTAGTCTTTAATTGCTGTGAATGCCTGTTTATTTGAAAGATAAGAACCCACACTGAGACCCTGTTACATTTCCGTAAATTAGCTGTGAAGGTGGTTATAATGTACGTTATTATAATACATTCATTTTGAACAATTATGATTACAACTTCTGCCAATAACTCAGTAAGTACTTCTCTTTTGGCCCAAACTGATAAAAATTCTGGAAAAGGATTTTCCTTGAAGTACATTTATTTATGCAATTAATAGCAAGTCATCATTTCATGTATGGCCACATAATTCAGTTTTAATTCCTGTACACAGGGGCGCCGCTAGAGATTTTGGGCCCCATGAAAGCATATCATATTAGGCCCCCCAGTCCAAACCAATCCAGTTATTTTCCTAATTTTTTAGGGCCCCTGTCACTCAGGGGCCCTTGGAATCGTCCTAGCTTTCCTCCCCCTTACGGCGCCCCTGCCTGTACAATTCAACATTTTGGAGATAAAATGGAATGTTGTGCAAGGACACAATATTATGTGTTTTATACAGTTCATAGTAACTATTATACAACACAGTTTATACATAAAATATTTCACAAGAATGGATGTTCCTAATAGTTTATCGTGTAAAATCAAACAGCGATGACAGTCCTCTATATGTCCTTTGAGTTGCTGACAGATTGTGATGCTTGTTCCCTTGGAGCCAGTTCTCAGAATCGCGAGTGTCTTTGAACTCCCACTCAGAAAAATGGGATGTTTCTACTTCTACTTTCAGCGGCCTTCAAAGGCAAAGCTCTTACTTAGTCTGACTTTTTAATAAAAAAGAAATAAACCTGTTGCAATTGCATTTTGTTTCAATCCAAAATAAATCGGAACTTTGCTTCTTGCCATCAACGTCTGTTACAAAGAGGCAAAAAAGAGTTTGTAGTTTAGATGAATATCAAAGTGTGGTGTACTTTCATTGTATTTCGTTTATTTCTCGGACAAATAAACAGAACATGCTGTGTCCAACATCACTCTGCTCACTTGAGTTGTAATTTTCCAATCATTTCCTGAACATACTGGGTTCTTTTTTTTTGGGGGGGGGGTACCCTGTGTTATTAGGTTTCACTGTGGTTTCAGGTCACAGTGAAAAGCAGGCAGTTTATATGATTAGCTGTCTCTAACTTGCCTGTAGAGTATGACTGTGCCTGTGCTGTCTGCAAGGCTGGGGGTGGGGGGGCTCACTTATTATCAAACACCAGGAATAGCTATTGTTTGGCCACCCTGTGATCTCCATCTCACCATGTGCGTTATGTAAACAACAGCTAGGGATGAGAACAAAGTTATGTGTATTACATAATAATATGGCCCACAAACCTGACCAAGACAAGCCATCGGACAATGGATGATTGATAGTTGGAAGGATAAAACGTTATACAATATATTGGCAAAGAAACGTAATTTCAATGCGTTTTTCATATTTTAATTCATATCCATTTTAATTTGAACAAAACATTATAGTTTAAAAGTCTTTGTTGGTGATAAAGATGAGCAAATGTTTCATGTCGAACAAGCTGGTGGAGTTCTGGTCTAAGGCTGTAGACTATTAATCCAAAGGGGGTTGGGTTTGAATCCCCGTTTTATATTATGGTGTCTTTCCATGCTGCACTTCCCATGTTGTACATGCTTTGTATTGAATGTTAAGCTATGCACCGCATGTAAATCAGCCTGTTTTCTTCTTTCTATGAAACTTTCCATAATCCCTTTAGTTGAATAAATTGAAATTACCCATAATTACCGTGGCAGTATTGCTCTTTACTTAGTTTGGACTTTAATCTTAATCTTAAGAAATTCATCATTTGCTGAGTTTCCAGCCGGGACTGGTGAACGCAGCGCTTAGGATGGAGTAGTGTCTCCACACCTGCAGCAGGCCCGCTGGACAAAGCCCAGAAATATCTGGGTCTTGGCACTAATTTAGCGTGTGATCAGGGGTCATTCTGAGATGGGATCAGCCTGGCAGACTCTGGAAAGACGAGGTGCAGATTAGTCGGCGAGTCGTGTTCCACACACCAGGGAAGTAAGAGAAGGCGTCCCTCCATGCTGGTGACATCAGCAAATATAGGGGCATCACGCTGCCCTGCCAGGCCTCTCACCCGGCCTCCTTCGAGGGACCAAAACGTGCCTTTGTCACTAAATGCAGGTGGGAAAAGCCTTTACCGCAGCCAAAGATTCATCCATTCAGAGCTGCCAGCCCAGAGGTATGTAGGGTTGTGAGATGGAGATCAACGAGAGGCAAAACAAAGGTTATTCTTGTAGTTTGATAATAAAAACTGCAAGAATCAATAGTTACTCCTACTGATAACAGTTACTGTCAATTGTCAATTACTGTTACTATCCAACAACCACCAGAAAAACAATCTGTAGAGAGAACAGGACAGACCTCCATCACACCATCATAGAGCATTATTATATTTACAGTATGTTAATCGGGCAGATTTACAGATTTACTGGGTTTGCAATATGTTATAGACCACTTTGACCAGTCAGCAGTCCCTATTAACAAACATTAAGTGCATAAGATATGAAGGGCACACATCTGATCTCACACGACGGGTCTCAGGATGGATCTGGTGTGTCAACCTTCACTGCTGTAACCCCCAATGCAGAGGCATCCAGACAGCCTGACACAGGAGCTTAAAGACTCTCCGCTCGAGACGCTGTCCTCGCTTCCCTCTGACACACGGCTCCTGAAATGCACATTTATTAAATGCATTAATGACCAGTGCATTGATTAAGCACCGAAAACCATGCTGCAGCTGTTATGGAGACCAGATAGATTTAAGGAACCTCTCTGGCCGCCAGACGCTTGGACCCGCCGACGCCTCGTTTAAGGCCACTGTTTATTTGAGCGGCGTACTTGCGGGTCCCCACCCCAGGAGATGTACGGAGGCTCTCAGGAATTCAGGCATGGCCTACTTTCTCTGCACCAATTACAGCACCTGGCCGCCCTGCTGCTAATCTTTGCTCGCATGCCAGGGGACACAAATTCAATTCAGTGTATGCAATATTTACAGAATGAAAAAAAGGCTGAATTATTTAGAAAACGTTTCTGGCCTCTGCATACAAGGATCTGCCTGGGATACTTGATCTGATTGAGATGAATAACACGACCATGGGACTGGTGAAAGAATTATATAGCTCTGTGTGTTTTTCTCTGTGTTGGGTCAGGCATTTGTACAATCCAGTTAAATCAGGAGAAGCTATTTTTAATAGGATTTTTAAAAGCATTCCTGAGCTTTAAGAATGAATTTGGTTCAAAGGTGCTTGCTTGTGCATATATATTTAGAGAGGCGCAGGCGTGATTCCCGGGGGTAATGAACGCTTATCGCTTCTCCAAGCACAGCAGCTATTTTAGCTACAGACCTCCTCCTAGTCCCTCTGTCTTGGCTGGTTTCCTTGGCCTATTTCATAGTGAAATCTGAGCGACACGGCGCTCATCAACAGGACGCGTCAGGCATCATGCTGCCACACGGCAGCCAATCTCACTGAGAATATCACCTGATAGACAGCTACCTGTTAAAACAAACAAATAAATAAATATACAACAGAAAAACCTGACATAGAATATGCATTTGTAACAGACCATTGTTTGCCTCTGGGGTATCTTGGTCCTACAGGATAATTTCATGGTTTTTATCACAAATTGTGAACTACAGCCAAGCTAGTTCCTGCAGTGCTGTACTGGATGAACCGTAGGAAAATGGATGGATAGATGGATGGTTAAGACTATAAAAATTAAGACTTTAATCTGGTTTAATAATAAACTGAAAAGTAAACAGTAATTTGAAAGTGAGCCCATGTGCTGCGACCAGCTAGGGGAACAGCACTGCTGCAAATGACAGTAAACACCTGTTAGATTTCCATTACAACACATCCCACGGACTTTCAGAATATAACTCTACTCAATTAAGCTGATTATTGTTTTTTTGTTTTGTTTTGTTTAATTTTCCTGCTTTCCACTCAACAATGATTTTCCCACATGAATGATATCAGGCCGCTTAAATTACAGGCTCATTAATACTCATATCTGACCATTTTCTAAGCCAATATGAAGGTCCACCCACAGGTAATGTTTATCCCTCGTCACAGTCCAAGACTATATCTGTAGGATTTTTTAAAAACCCAGGGGCAACACTGCAATTAATCTTCAGTGTTCAGGCTCTAATCCTGTTTAATCACAAATGAAAAGTCAGCTAGAGTGTTTCCGCTTCTGCATTCGCATGTTTCAGCCTCAGAAGAACATGCTGGCTAATCCAGGCGAAAGGGAACGGCCGTGTGCATGACATTGTGGACGCAGCCGGCCTGCCAGCACGTCTGCAACAGCAGGCTGCTCACATGCAGGCCTGCTCTGACAGACGGAGACCTCGCCTGTCCAGTTTCATCAAATCAACTGCATTAATAATTCAACCCAACAGTGAAGACAGAAGAGAAGGTGAAAACGCAACACTAGGAGCCCAGTTTAAGGTTTAATGTAAAATGGAGACAGACGGACAGATGGACGACCAACAGACAGACAGACAGATAGTTAGATAGACAGACAGATAAACATATTTCATTGATCCCAAAGGAAATTTAGGATTGTTACCTGAAATATAATTATACAATATATTTGGTGTCCCAGCCTTGTGCCCTAATGCCCCCTGGGACAGGCTCCAGACCCCAGCCTGATCCAGGATCAGCATCTGGAAGATGCATGAATGGAAGAGTCTCTGCAGTCTGCAGCACCAAATGAGAAAACACACTGGCGAGAGAATCACACGTTTACAAAGTCATATGCAAGCGATGCTGATGTCAGCTGACACCAAGCACAACTAAATGGTCAATAGTTTGGCAGCTATAAAATGAGCAGAGACGTCAGCCTGTTACTCACAGCACACATTCAGCCGCAGTGTGAAGGATGACAGGGGCAGAGGAGGATATGCTGAGTTTCGGCTGATGGAGACGCTGCACCCCTTTGCATCCCGTTCCAGAAGAATTGGACATTTCGGAATCTCCCCTGATGCCGGCTTCATTTCCATACCTGTTACACTGCGATAGTAAAGAGAACATCACTTATTTGTGGTTGCTGGGAGGTGCTGGTATGGAGACAGTATTGAGCTAATTTATGAGTGTAACCTGTTCAGGAATTGATGACAGGAACACAGAGGAGAGAGTCACACATGTTGGAGGAAGGGGGTCCTCGGGCTTCTGTGATTGGCTGTAAAGGGCCACTATGACAGTCCTGAGGCACAAACAGTGAAATGGTGAGACCTTTCTCACAAGCCAGTTAAGTCACCCCAGTCTAATTTTAAATCATGTTTCCATGTCTCTCGTCTGTGCACATGTCCAATTAAAGCCAAAGGTGATGAAGCAGAGAATGGCGAGCATTTGCCGGCGAGTGACTCTGCCTCTCTGTGACGCGTCACGCCCTCAGTGTCCCTAACACTCATGTAATTCACTCAGCACAGGCAGATACTTCTGGATTAAACGGTCACACAGTCTCTCACGTCGCGTCCCCATAAAACCAGCCAAGGCGCGAGCTGAAGGTCGCAAACGGCGATGCTCATAAAGCAGGATCTGCGTCTCCTGCCTCCTGCTGTCATCTTGCTGTAACTGGCTGCCATTCGGAGTCTGTCTCAGGTGGCTTTGTGCAGGTGGGCCGGGAGCAGCGAGCTGACGAGGGAGCTGAGCTGGGGAGAAGGTCCAGGGGACGAACTTGGAAAGGATCTACAGCCGGATCACGTGTCTGAAGCATTACCCACAATGCTCTGCAACGCAATCTTTATCCACTCATAATCCCTCAGGATGATTCTGATGTTTAGAAGAAAGGTGATTTGCAGACCAGATTTCTGTATGAGCTGATATTAAGGCTTCAGCCCAAACCTGGTCACTAAGGTAGGGGTGGGAATCTCCCCATTCGATTCGATTATGATTCATAGGGTTGCCATGCGATGATAAAATGCTTATCGATGCATCTTGATGCATCTTTTTCTTC